GCTCAGCGGGGAGCCTGCTTCTCCCTCTCCCTCTGCCTCTCCCCCGTTCATGCTCTCTCTCTCTATCTCTCTCTGTATCTCTGTGTCTCAAATGAATAAATAAAATCTTAAAAAAAAAAAAAGAAAAATACAACCATGCTGACTTGACTCACTTTAAATTCAAATGTTTGTAAGGCTGCCAGATAACGACACTATGTTTCCCTTCTTAGTTCCCTCTGTCACTCACCTAGCTCACCAGTTGAAACCTTTTCTTCTTCCCTCAACTTTATTATACCTATTCCTTCATCCTTATTCTTGACTGATAAACTTTCAATTTCACTAAGACAACCAAAGCAATCTGAAAGGAACTTCTCTAACCTCCCACTGCTACAACTATTTACCTATCTGTATTTGTGCACATATATTCTGTCTTCCTTGTTACTCTTGTGAATAAACTGTGTTCCTATATAAGGCTTACCTTGTCTATTATACCTTCAGTTTCAAATTCTTCCTCTCTTATTTTTCTTTCGGGTCTAATTCTGTTTGCTATTTCTGCCAGCTCTCATTCGTGGTGTTTTATCAACCAGTACTCCTTATTACCATTGATTATGTGCTGGGCACTCTATTTGAGAAATGATTTGTGGAAATAATTTGAGCCCTAGGATGATATATTTTATAGAAGACTTTAGTTTCTGTCAGAATGGGGTGGGGGTATGAGCAATCTGGAACCATCTTAGTCCAAGTTCAAAGCTTAAGATTCTGAGCTATCTTTATGATGTGAAGCTAGGTTACAATCTGTATGAATGTCTCTTTTCTTCCAGTTTATGTTTGCTCTTAGAATGCAGCTCTTTGAAAGCCTAAATCCCCACACTTGGTGGACCACAGATTCTAACTTTTGACTCCTAGCCCCATGAAGCCACCAAAAGCAGTACTTAGTTTGTGAACACACCCAGGGCAAAAGCAGCTCTAAGTGTGTTCTGTTCATCACTCTGCAGTCTTCTTCAAAATGTTGGCTTGAAATGTCCTCACTATTTTGTTAGCTATTTGATGCTTTTAACTTAAAAAACATTTTTAAAAAAAATTTAGCCAGGCAATTTGAATTACCTGCTTCATTATTGGAAATGGATACTCTCTGGCTCTACAATTTTCTCTTAAAATTGGATAAAGTTTTAACCACTACCATTCCTCTAAACTGCTCCTGTGAAGGTCATCACAGAACCTCATGCTGCTAAATCCAGTAGCCTCTCTGTCTTAACTTTACCCAACTGGGACCCAGTTGATCCCTTCCTCTTCAGGCAAACATTTTCTTCACTCCACATGCATCTAGTTTTCCTCCTATCAGGTATAGCTTCTTCTTAGTTTTCTTTGCTGGTTCCTTCTCATTTCACTGATCTCCAAACATTGAAGAGCCCTAAGGCATAGTGTTTAGACCTCTTCGCTTTTCTTTCTCCACCTACTCTTTAGGGAGTCTTAAGCAGTCATAGGGCATTGGATGCTATTTATATGCAAGTAAATTCATAATTTTTACCCCTAGCCAGGACCCCTCTTTTTAACAGCCACCTTCCTCCTGGACATTCTTACTGATCCTTAACAGACATCTCAAATGAAACCTATCTAAAACTGAACTCCTGATCTTCTCCCTAAAACTTGCTTCTCCATCTCTATTACAGCAACCCCACACTTCCATCTGTTAGTCAAAAACCTTGTTAGAGTCATCCTCTATCCTTCTATTTCTCTCTTAACCCACATCCAATTATCATCACAAACTGCTGGCTCTACTTTAAAGCATAGCCAAAGACTCGATCATTTCTTATCACTTCCTCTGCCACCAACCCTAGGTCAACCCATCATCATCTCTTACCTGGGTTTTTTCAATGGCTTTTCAGTGGCTTCTTTTACACTTGTCTTCATTATATTTGCAATACATTAGCCAGAGTAATATTTTAAAAATCTAAGTCAAATCATATCATTTCTTTGCTGAAATACTTTTAATGGCTTCCCACCTTATTCAGAATAAAAGCTGGAGTCTTGAGAGTAGTCTATGAGATCCTATATAATCTGTTTTTTTGATATCTTTCTGACTTCATTTCCTACCACTTTCCTCTTACGCACTCTCTTTTAGTCACACTGGCCTTCTTGCTAATCCTAGAACACACTGAGGACGCTCATTCCCAGGGCCTTTGCAGGTGTTCTTTCTGCCTGGAAAGCTCTTTCCCTAGATTTCCTGTAGCTTGTACCCTTCGCTCCTTCTGATATTTCCCAAATGCCATGTTCTCAGACATGCCTTATCTACCTACTATATTTAAAACTAACCCCACTCCACTTTCTATCATATCCCCCTTCCCTGCCGTTTTGTGTTTCCCTATAGCATTTACTGTCTCCTAGGGATGAAAATACTTTTGGGCATTAAAACCTTTCTGATACTTTGCAATCCATACCACTTAGCTATTTTTTCCTACAAGGAAGGCAGACCTTGAATTAGATTTTAGTCATTTGTATGCCTTAAAATGTCTTTTTTCCTTTCAATTCTATAGAATTGCAGTTTTATGCCTTCAAATATGGGAAAGAATCACTTAGAATTACTATAGGCAGTTGTAACTATAAATATCAGTTTAGTTTTTGTGGTAATCTAGGTCAAGAAATATCTATAGAAGTTAAGCATTTTATCAATATAAATAAAATGAATATTTTCATTGCACTTCTATTGGAAGTATGTGTTTTTGGACAAAAATGGGTGAGTGTGTGTGTGTGTGTGTGTGTTATGTGGCATATATGTATATAAGTTAAATAAAATATGGACTACTATTCACCCTACAGAAGGACATAACATGATTTTTTTTTTCAAATCAGCATATGTGTCACTGTGTTGGAAATAGAATTATTAGTAAAAAATGGTAACTACTAATATTGATTGTACAGCTGACCACAGACCCAATAAAAATTAAAGTTAACTGCATGGAGCACTGGGTGTTATGCACAAACAATGAATCATGGAACACTTCATCTAAAACTAATGATGTAATGTATGGGGATTAACACAAGAATAAAAAAAAATTAAAGTTAAATGATGTATTGCAGCAGACAGGGTTCCCCTACTTATCATTAGATGATATAACTGTTCTACTTGCTTTAAAACTTTTCCTTGATGCTTCTACTCTAAATTCATTTTTGCACCTCTGGGTAATGGATTTGGGGTATCCCTGTAGGGACAAAAAATTCCAAGAATTAAATGATGCATTTAATTTCCATTTTGTGTAAAAACCATAATGTTAGGAGGCATGGTGGTAGGGGCTCTATTATATGTTTTTTCATGTTGCCACCTCTGGCGGACCTGACAGGTACTCCTGTTAGCCCAAAGGTCAGTCCTTTCTATTTTAATTTTTAACATGAATGTGATATGTTCCAGGCACAAAGTGTAAGCAAGTGATATAGTTAGGGTGGAATAGGAGAAACTGGGGATCAATAAGGCTTTGCAGAAGACATTTTTAATGTGAACTCTCAGAAAAGGATACTCTGACTTCAGAGTTATGTCTCCCTCTAAGAGTATTTGTTTTTTTGAAAACACTAAAATGCCTTTTACAAGAGTTTTATCAAAATCATTATGATTTGAAATGAATACACTGTAAATCTCAAACACACTGAAATGATGAAATTGGACATCAGAGTTTGAAAAAACCAAGAACTTACCATCTGATACTTTGTGTTCACAGTTAAGCAAATCTTTACAGATTCGTGCTGGGTTATCTCGTGTGCCAAGAGGATTCTTGATGCTGTGCAGTAAATTGCTAAGGTAGTTCAGGGTTTTGAATATCTCTGCACTGTAGTCAATTAAAGTCACTTCGGTATTCTGGTAGCTCTGCCAAGTCATCATAGGAATCATATTAGCAAAAAAGCATAGAGTAGCCATTACCAGTATGTAATCCTCATGATCAACATGGACCAAGGCAGAATAAAAATGTATTCTTGTTGTATGCAATGAGTTGGGAGTGGGGTGTAAAAAACAGTTTATATTTAAATATAGGCTTATGTGTAAGTTTTATTAATCTTGATCCTAAATAGGAGATTAAATTCACTCTAAAGGCCTAGTTTTCAAGCTAACACGAAACTTAACAATTATTATGGCTACTGTAGTATAATGCTTTAAAGAAAATCATACATTGAATAGAGTTTAAATAAGAAAAATGAGTAACAATGATAGATCCCATTTTAAGAAATGGCTAGGCTTCATTTAACTTCATTTTCTTCTACAGTATCTAATTCCTTATTAAAAAAATTCCTTAAACATATTACATTTTTGTTTTAAATGTTTTCCTTAAAAAACATTCCATGCATATATTTGTTTATTAAAAAATGCTTACTTTGTCCTTAAAAATAGTTTCATTATGTTCAATCTAAGTACAACCTTTGAGATAAAGCCACATTTTGGACTCTGAAAAAACTTTCTGTTTAATTTGTATATTGAGAGTGCCAATGTAAATAAAGCCAGATATATCACCTCCATCTGTAGGGCAGTATGTGATTCAATCAAGGCTTGAATAGCAGCATTGATATCCATTTGTTTCTGTGTAAAACAAAACCATTTGAGATTAGCACTAACATCAACACTGAGGACTCTAAAGTAAAGGCTGTAAATTCTGAAAGCAGTGCTATTAAAGTATACCAGACTTATTACCTGAAGAGGGTTTGTAACTCTTATGGTTAGACAGATCTTGCAAATTTTGCCTGGATATCTGAAAGGACAATATGCTGCCTTCATCCAAATCTCGAAAGTCTCCTAATTAAAACAGGACCAAAGTCTAGATCCCTCAAATGAAAAACTATTTGTCACTGCTACATAAAAACACATGCAAAAGTTACTCAAATGGAAGAAGAATGAAGTATGACCCCCTCAGTTAATAAATTGTAAGGTGAAGAATAAATAACTGTAGTAATTTATAACAGTTACATTCTTGGAAGGAAAATATAATAAAATACTACTGTTCTGAGGTAGTCACCACATTCGTCTAATCTGATACTTTTGCGGTCTTAAAAACAATTTCTGAAGTTGGAAAATGCACCATTTGTCCCAAAAGAAATAATACAGCATGAATCCAATCTCCTCCTGTATTTAATAAAAGATATTTTTAGAGAAGGGCTCAGCATAACCATTAGTAAAAGTCTTTTTGTATTTTATTTTTTAAAAAAGCTTGGATACTAAGAAGTATGAGTGGGGAGAAAGTTCTGTGAAATAGCATCTGTATCAACAAATCAAGCAATCTAATTTCTTTCAGAATGATTGTGCTGCTAAGATATCTTTTTACTTAGAGGGCCATACAATAAAAACGGTTTTCAACAGATCTCTCATAACTCATGGCTAGTAATTTGAAAAACTATTTAAAATGATGGGACAATCAATAAAATGCACTCTTCCTTGCCTCAACATGTGGTTTTCATATTGGAAAATAATTGAATCATTCTGTATATATATATACTGCCAAATACTGTGATACATATTGAGGACAAAACAGTACGCTAAAAAGAAAACTTCCCTTGTGAAGCTGAAGTTTAAGGGAGAGAAAGGCACTAACCAAATCTTAAAACTACGTACTTACAAATTGTGATATGTGCTAATGAAAGAAAAAAATGTGCTTGGACCCATAAAGAGATTAGGGGGTTTCAGTGAAATCTGGAGGAGAAGAGCTTTGGAAGGAGTAGGTCAGGGGAGGTTTCTTTGAAACAATGACATTTGATTTGAGATCTGAAGACTAAATAAGAATTTGGCTGGGGGGGTTGGGGGTGGTGGGATTTCCAGACAGAGTAATAGCCTTGCACAAAAGCTATCAGATAGAGAAGCGTGGTCTATTCACAAAGCAGGAAGGATCAGCCTTTCTGGTTCTATGCAGAATAATTCTGACCATCATTCCTGTGTGGATGAGCAGATTTTGTGCATGGGTCCCATAAAAATATGGACACTAAACATGGGCAACTGAATTAAGTACTAAATAGTAGCCACCTTTATATTTTCCAGTTGGTTTGTGAGTAGGGCTTTGATCTTAGAAAATCTAGCCTAAGCAGTTCCCAGACTCTTCAGCTCAAGACTTTTTGCACTTTTAAGTATTATTAAGGGCCTTAAAGAACTTTTATTCATGTGAGTTACAGCTTTTGATATTTACCACAGTGGAAATTAAAACACAAATTTTAAGATTATTTGTGTTAACTGCTTTAAAATAACCCATATGTTAATACAAATATTTTAATGAAAAATAACTGTATTTTCCAAAACAGAAAAGTGTGATAAGAATGGCACTGTTTTACATGTTTGTACATATCTTTAATGTCTGGATAGAAGATAGCTAGATTATCATATTTCTTTCAGTATTCAATCTGTTATGATACGTTATTTTAGTTGAAGTATATGAAGAAAATCTGGCCTTATAGAGATATATAGTTGGAAATAGGATTCTTTTATTTTTTGAAAAGATTTTTTTTTTTAAAGATTTTATTTATTTATTTGAGCCAGAGAGAATGAGAGAGAGGGAGAGAGCACATGAGAGGGGGTAGGGTCAGAGGGAGAAGCAGGCTCCCTGCCGAGCAGGGAGCCCGATGCGGGACTCGATCCAGGGAC